CATTGGCGGCAGCCATTAAATATACATAGACAGATGTGTGTATAGGCACTGCGAATGGTGGCAGTAAATGTGATTGTTGGGTCATCTTTCCGGTTTTCTGTGTACCTAGCCTCTTTGGCTTGCTCATGTATTGTTGGGCTGTACTGCAATTTACATTTACAGCACTTGCAACGCCTAGGCTTCTGCCTGTTTGCAAGAACATTTGTTGAGTCCACTCAGGGCCGCGCGATGCTCCGTCTTTGCCCCGATCTGCTTCCCTCTTTGCAGAGTCGCGCTTGCGCTGGCAACCGGCCGGTCAGGGCTTGCAGGGACTTGGAATCTGCGGCCCAAATGGCTGGGCTCATCATAGCTGTGTCAATGCCAATGCAGCCATTGTCTAGCACACTGCATGCAGATGTGTCCAACCATGCAACACTCAAGGACCAAGGAACTGGGTGCAGGACTGCCTGTTCTGTGACGGGATCCTGGGAGTTCTTCGCATCCTGCTGGTTGTCTATGTGTGGTCGGATGTGCAAATTCTCATGCGCTTCATTTACCAAACATGGTACAGTATTTCCGGCCGTCCTGCAGCAGTACGTCGATGCCATCAGCCTCTCTCTCACTCTGTCACGCGTACTCAGCTGTCCACACGCGAACTGCCTTTGTTCACCCAGTGACTTCCACCCAAAGGCATACTGTCGAGCAGCGGACTCGAAACATACATAATATGATGCCGTCAGCCTACAGGCTTCAAACTTCCGTTCTGAATTACCCAACCATAAGGAGTTCATTATATTGACCCGCATTCCGCTTGCGCAGCTGAGGACTAGTGGGCAAGCAGCCTGCATGCGGAGGTGGAGGTGGAGGAGGTCGCCGTCTCTTACCCGAAGACATTCGTCGGAGTCCCAGCCAGCAAGGGGTCTCACCTGTACGAGTACCAGGAATCCGTGGTAAAAATGAAGTCAGAGAAGCCTCCTGCGCGTGCCAGGCTGAGATGCGCACGGCTTGCTCCCAGGACTCACAACCTCCTGCATGTTCCGTCTGTGTGGAAAGGGGATGAGGTAGATATGTGCGAAGGCTGTAAAGGTCTCGTTGGAATGCAGATGACTTTGGCACAACCCGTCCTTCCGGTGCGGTGTTGATGCGACAGTGACCCTCTGTATCCAAGACAATCTCCTGGCTTGCAAGGCAAAGCCTAGACATAGGGAACTCTCACACGGGTGCACGACAAAGAAAGAACAAAACAACGTGCGCGCGTTAGCTACGGCAGTTCCTGACCATGGTACTGATTGAGCTGCCCTGGGCTTAATCTGCTTCGAACATGGGTCGTAACCTCCTATGTATGTGTGCTCCTACAGTTATTCAAGGGCAAGTAGGATTGAGGATCCGGTTTATGAGGCCTCACCTTTGGCATTCTATCTTGGTCCACGGCTTCTCAGGCCCGCGCCCACCAGTACACCAGGAACTGCGCAATGCCAGCCTGTGGCTTTGACGGGAGGCATATGACGACGCTGCCGTTTGCTTCTCAGGCCGGGCACGCGAGTGGCGCGAAGTTCGACTGGAGGATCGATCCAGTTGCCCAAGTTGCTGTACCTGGGATGCACGCTTGTGAAGTTCGTTTGTGAAGCTTCACGTGCAACAGCTCGGAATTGATGCAAAATGCAGCTGCCTTGATGGTCGGCTTGCTGTGTTGAAAGGCAACTTAGAACTGAATTAGGGAAGATCCTGGCTCACACCTTCGGAACCAACATCGAACCCCTGAGAACAGCATTGCTGTATGTAGACAGTACAGGTAGCAGTCAGGGCCAAGGCCCTCACAAGTATTCAATCTCCTGAAAATCCAGCTTCACCTTGGCACTGCCCGGCTTCGGCAATATCGCATGCCTGTACACGTGAACTCACACCGACGTCTCACCGGGAACGTTCAGACCAACCAAGTCGCGAGGGGAATCGGATCTGTGAGCTTCACGTGCGGAATCGTGGACATCGTCTCGCAGCTGTAGCGCTCACTGAGCGAGGACGGTGCGGTCATGAGAAGCACGTAAATGGGCTTTCACGGAAAGTTCTTTTCTGAGAGGCCCCGCTGCTGATAAGGTGTACGGAACTCTTCGCAACAAGTCTGCAAGTGATGGCGACCAACGTGTGTGCAGCAAGTGCACATCGACTCTAACAAGCTGCAGTGATCAATGCCTGCCATGTAGAACATTCCTCAAGCATCCCTAGTCAAGTTCAGTCATATTCATGTTAGGCAGTAACCTATCTGCGACGCCATGCTGCCTGTTGCGCAGCCTCGCTCCCTTCAATGAGGCCTCCAGAATCTTCGAGAGGTGACGGTACGAGTAACACGTATTCGCTTTCGCCGAAATGCCCAGCAACTCTCCAAATCTCTGAGCCAGTCGCTCCGGTCGGGGATCGCAGCACCGCAAACCGCTCCAAAAGCTTCGGAGCCTCACAGCTCTCTACGGGTGGAGCCCAAGAGGGGATGCCAGAAGCTCTGAGCTATATAAGCCTTATGGATGAGTATATACAGCCGAAGCTGTCGGCATTGAAGAAGAGTAGCACCAATCTCGACTCATGCCGCGAGAACAACTAGCATCCTCAATGCTCTGACAGCTAAAAAGCAGGTTAGAGCGTTTAGTTGCAACAGGGAACATCATGTCAACAGGCATTCAGGCACCTCACCCGAGAGATTTCGGAGGGCTGCTAGGTCCCCTTAGAGCAAGTGACTACTGGCTGGAAAGGATTGAAGCCCTTTAGGCGAAAGTGCAACCTGAAACGACATACACACTGCCACATCGAACTCAGCATCTGATTATTGTTATGGTTGTTGCGACTATTATCTGCTCATGATTGTTTTCAATTATCATCATTCGTATTCTTCTTGGCAAAATCTCGGTCCCAGGTGCCTCCACCAGCTGCCCGAAAAGCTGTGCACAAGATGGGATAAGAAGACCCCCTTCTCGCAAAAGTGCCTAGCAGCGCTGCTGTGTTTTGTAGATGTGCACACAAATATACGCATGTATCCCTGCATATGTATATATATATATGCACATTGTATACATGCAAAAACACATATACATATACGAAATATACGCACAAACGGTATGAACATAACGCAGCCTTGCGCTTGTTGCCTTATCTACGTATCTACCCCATGTTATTGTATGTAATCATAATCACTTTAACAAGCTAACAGTTTCTGCGGTTCTCCTCGTTATCATTTTCATTAGTGTTGCCATGCTTTTACTTACTGACATTATTATTGTTATGCATGCCTGTGTGTACATGTACATGTGTAGGTGTGTGCATTCGCGGTTGGGATTTCACAAACGGTATATGTACAACACTGACATGCTCGTGTTTTACTTGTGTCTATGTATATGTATATATAAATATGCATGTGCGGTTGTAAGAGCAGACGTGGTTATTGGGGCCGTCTTGGCCGATAGCCTTGAAGGAAAATTGCAAGTCTGCAACCCGTTCCCGGATGTAATGCATGAGTACTTGGGGTCGCGATGACGAAAACGCAATGCCGTGCCGTTCCTGTTGCTGCTGCTACCGCTTCTCCTGTTAGCACCACCACCACCACCACCACCACTATCACATCCTGCGACTGAAGCCCCTTCCATCCCTCGGATTATTGCCACCACGCCAGTTGAGCAAAAGCCTGTTCAGGACCCGATCTGTTCTAATCCTTGCGGGCGGTGGAGGTAAGAAGGGTGAGCTTGCCAATCAAATCCTCACATGCGTAAGCTGCATACATACATATAAGCAGACAAACACACACAACACACAGTCACATACTTCCTTACATACATACTTCCTCACATGCGTAAATATGACCTTCTCAACTGCCAGTGGGCAGTCATGCGCCACTGGCTGTGGAGTTCCGGCTGAATATCGCGGAAGCTTGCTCTCTCGGCAGGTGGAAGGGGCAGATCTGCAAGACATGCAGTGCTGCAGGGCGCCTGTCGAGCGTGGAGAATCGTCGGCAAGGCATGCCTGGGGTGAGGGCAGGACGGATCTGATAGCAGAGCTACGAAGTACATCCCTAACCCGCCACTCATTTCCACCGCAGCATTTCCTAACAAATAAAAGCAGTCTTGCATGTGCACAGCAGCAAGACTCAGGCCATTCAGTCATGTAGGGCCAGGGAGTGCTGTCTCACCCAATCTCTGCAAGTAGTAAGCGGACAACAAGATTGCAGAACCAGTTTGTCTGGCTTGCTTTTCAGGGAAGCCAAAGAGTTTGCCTTCTGCATGACAACCCAGGGCATTGAACCACGCACGGAATTAGAGCTGTTCGACTAGTTGATCCGCTTGCCCTCCTTGTCCCCTCCTTCTCGAACAATGTGGGAAATAACTTTCTGAATCTCTATACCTACGCAGCTCTTTCGAAACACTCCCATCAAGGTGTCTCCGGTAAGTGTGTCCAAACGTTTTTTTCAGCTGTCGAACAGTCGCGGCCAGTCTGCTAACCCCACATTGAACTGGCTCGGTACTTGGTTCTCTATTGAGCGATCTCGAACTTTCTGCGTCTCCTGGGTAGATTCTCTTGCAAAATGGTGCAGAGGCTTATTTTAATCGTTTCAAAAGAACTCGCACCTCAAATCTGGTCGAGCGGGAGGAAGCGACTTGCATCAACGAGATGGCCTATTCGTTCAGACTGTCCGAATCTGTAAAAAAGCTGCGTTAAGCGATCCTGTTTAGAGCACTGGTTGTCACGCAAACTATACTTGATCATTTCCAGCCATCACAGACTAAGCTTATACTTATACTATTATGTTGATGGGGCAATGACGGGTCTTCAAACGAGAGTACAAGCTTGAAGTCACGAGAATGACATCGACTAACCTCGCAGATTTTATGCTGAATGCTCTTTATGAATTCGACCCGCCGGATTCATGTCTGTGTTTACAGCCTCCACATTCCGTGGTGCAGCAGACAGTCAGTAATCTGTGAAGTTCGGGTAAACCTCATGAGGACATGACTTGCTGCCATACTGCAGACTAATTTCCTGGTTTGGGACACGATGCTCAACCCGATCGAAACCTTCAATAACTAATTTCGCAATCAGATTTGCGTACCTGAACCGACTGTGCTCGCTTGCAGGCAGTCAGGGTAAGTGAAGTCACATCGTGCTAGGCTGATGCAACTAGTGCAATACTGTCGCTTCGACAAGATCCTACGGGGATGTCTGTAGGAGTCAAAGGTTTGTTCTTCGCGAGACAAGGTAGCCAGCTGAGGACTCAGATCTTCCCCCCGCCCCTGTCGCACGCACCGTTGAATGGAAACACAGCGTCGCACAGTTGCTTACGTGAAACATGCGGACCCAAACCGGTGGAAGTACCATGTGTCTCTTTGCTAGAACCACATGAACAGAATTCAGTCCACTGCCTTTCCTGCTCTCGTGCGGAAAAGCTTAGGCCCAGTCTCGCCCAGCAAGCCTGCATCAAAGACCTCGCAGAACACCAGGTCGACACGTTCCTCCAAGGAGAGTGCTGTGCTGACCTCAGCATACGAAACGTGAAACGCATGTGCGCATGCGTATCTGTATACATCCATATAGATACATACGAGGATTGAGCAGCTTCCTTCCCTTCTAGACGTAGTTTATTCACGTAATTAGTTTTGGATCCCTTTCGCGGGTCCATCACGGATCTTTCGGGCAACCTGTTTCCAGCAGCAGCAGTAGTAATGTTGCAGTGGCAATAGTAGTAGTAGTAGTAGTAGTAGTAGTAGTAGTAGTAGTAATTAGTAGTAGTAGTAGTAGTAGTAGTAGTCGTGGTGGTGGTGGTGGTAGTAGTAGTAGCAGCAGCAGCAACAAGAGTAGGAGTAGGAGTAGGAGTAGTAGTAGTAGTAGTAGTAGTAGTAGTAGTAGTAGTGGTAGTAGTAGTGGTAGTAGTAAAGTGGTAGTTGTCGTCGTAGTGGTGGTGATGATAGTGGTAGTGGTAGCAGTAGTGGGGCCAGTAGTGGTAGCAGTAGTGTAGTAGCAGTGCTGGTAGTAGTACTAGTTGTTGTTGTCGTCGTCGTTGTGGTGGCAGTAGTAAAGACACGGATCTTCAGATAGATGATCACCTATCAAACAGTAGTAAATGCAGAGAGTAAGTCTGCTGAGCCGGAGCCCAAATGATCTGTCAGCATCTGTGCAAGCGACGTTGGGATGCAATGTGATCGGGCAGTGAGGTGTAGTCTGTGAGGCGATGACCTGGGCTGTGCGCACATTCGGTGCAACATGCCTATGGGTGAAAGCCAGTGCTGCTTTCATGACTGTCTGCATGGACTTCCACCTCGTTGGCAATCGCGCAGAGTGCTTCGTTCATCTCGCAGGCATGGACTTGTTGCACACCCTGCCCAACACGCGGACTGGCGTGAGACTGCATGCTAAGCCTGGCGACTGTTTGACTGCAAGCTTTGCCTGTTGCCGCGCGCACATGAGAGCCAGCCTAAGCAGCAGAGTTAGGTGAATCTTTTCGATGAACATTGTCGGATTAGCAAGAGCAGCTTCAATGCAACGAAGCCCCCGGCAGACCCGTTCCGGTGCCGATATCCAAAGCGGTGACACCGCCTCGTGCCCGCACCTCGCAGCTAGAGCCAAGCAGAGAACAAGGAGGGTTCGGAGTTCAGCGCTTGCGCTTTGGTCTGGGGTTTAGGGCTGCATACTGCAATCGTGGTTCGATGCAAATGGCCGTGACTGTGCTCCAGCGTGGCGCAGGTCCGGTGCGGGTTTCAAAAGCCACAGTTAATGTGACTTTGACCACGGCAGCCTGATTTTCCTGAAGTCTCCCATATCCTCGCATCTAGCGCAAGCATTTGTTGCCAGTCACTTGTGCCAACAACGCTGACACTGTGCATAAATCCACGATAGCTCGAAACCCCCAACCCTAGAAACCCTATGTGCCTAGTACTTAATCGTGGGCCAACTTCGGTGTTGTTCTCATCGGATTCGATGGGATAAGACTAAATACGACATATATATATATATGTACACATATATATATATATGTTCTACGACAGTTTGCTATATCATACGGAAATGAATTGTATTACTTTATGTTGTATTGTTTACATACATACATAAAATCATTCATTCATTCATAGCTGTATAATAAGTATATGTACAGATCAAACATAGAAGATACTCTAAACTCTAATCCCTAAACCCCTTTTTGCAGCTGGGCTCTAAGTGTCAGCCAGCAAGTCACCCATGTTCTGAAGCTTAGCTCTGCTGGCTGAGATTCCAAACGTTAGAAGACAAGAAACACCCTTTTTTGCATCCCTGAAGCCGGACTTGATGACTACCAGCATTGCCTCTTCTGCCGTTCTTCAGCCGAGGCCCGAAAACGTTAGCACACAAGCGCTCCACTCCCTAGGATAGGCACTCCACGTACCGACCACCGAATGTTGAAGCCAAAGCTCTCTGACCACATGTGGGGGTTTCAGAAAATAGGGGACCCTAATATACTACTTGTGCCCTAAATAGTAGGACCCTTATTATAAGGACCCCAAAATAAGGTACCCCCCAAGTTTCGGAAACTCCCCCATGTGGCAGCTCCAATAAAAAAAACCCTTCTGGGCCCGGCCTGGGGCCTCTCTGCGAGCTGAGCCACCGCCAAGGCGATGGCCCGCCCCTTCCACGGGGAAGTCTCTGGGGTCACGACGCCGCTGCTTACTTATATGTCATGTGTTATGTAAAAGAATGTAGAATATACAGACAAAGACAAGGCTAAGATGCTATCATATTGTATATCTACAGACATATAGATAGATATGTTGTGTGGGTTGCTCTTTTTTCCGTATTGATTTGTAGAGTTGTGCAGCCACTGGAGCATCTGTCAATTCTCAGCAACACATCTCTCGCGGATACCAAGTTTCGAGTCGGCGAGTGGCGTACTGCTCCCCTCGCGGCACATCATTGATCATCTGGAAGTGCCATCCTGGAAAGATAATAACACTCTCCGGAGGTCAGCCTGCTAGGCGGGTCGGATACCCCCTAACCACAAAACCCTGTTCTAATTGCTACAGTATAGCTGTCGATATCCTGGGATGCTGGCTCTGCAAAGCGGCTGCTCGGAGCCCATCGAGAGCGGCTTCAGCCCTGCTGGATCCTGGGCGAACCAAGGGCTACTACAAAAGAGTTGAAGGCATAGCATCTTAGTCTCTGCGCTTATCTCGGATAGGACAGGACCGTAGAAGGGATGCGCAGAGGTCAGATGGCTTCAGTGGTTCATCATCATTTCGCATGGGCAAATCTCGTGTCAAATCAGGCTCTGGCCATTGACGTCGCCAGCTTGCTTGGCCAGGGCCTCCGGGGGAATTGCAGGATTCCACGGATTCGACCCAGCTTGATCAAGCTTGGTTCGCACCGGCCACCTCTGCACGTCTCAGGGACTGGAAGGCAGCAATGAACTTCCCCTCGTCGGCCTCGGCCTCATCTCATGGCGACAGAAATTGAGTCCAAGAGACCTTGGTTTCTCTCGGAGTCCTCGCCCAGCAGGCACTGGAGCGCCACGGACGACGCGGCGGCGAGCCTCTGATCGGCCAAGACAGCGAAGAAACTTCTCACAGATCCCGGAGCTTCTTCCCTGCCAAACTGGGGCCGTGACGGCCTAGAATTTCCCGCCTGCACAAATCGCACCACTTTGACAGTTTCTGTCACTCTTCCGCCGGGAGAACTTGTGCTTTGTCCATCATGTTTCAGCAACAATAGATGGCATCCGCGGCGAAGCCTTGCTGCGGACGGGACATACTGCCGATGCCACAGCTGAGAGGAGTAGCCTCCTTGTAAACGTCCAACATGGTTGGACAGGTTTGTTTGAGATATCATTGAATTCAGCAAGTCGTTGAACTGCTCTCCGACACTGGACTCATACAGCGGACGAACAGGCTCAGAATCAAGCCAGTCTCAGACACAAGAAAAGCTAAATAAACCATGTCATGGTGCTTGCCCCGGCAGGGTTTCAAGCGGGATCAGGGCATATTGTAATACGACCTTATACTACCATCTTGCACCATACTACGTTATAGCATGTTATACTATATTGTACTATATATTCTGTCGCATGGCTCCTTGATCTCGCAGCCAAGTCTTCGCGGCCAGCTACCTAACAAATGCATGCTTCACGCCGACTACTCTGCCCTCGACGGGGCTCCCGCGAATGCCGATCCTCCGCTGCGACTCCTGCAGGTAAAGGCGCAGGGGTCGCCTGATAGATTTTTTTTAAAAATAACAAGATTAAACAGTATGCAATATATTTGCAAATACATTGTATATATTGTATTTATTTGTTTACAGATTCAGTTCAGAACTTCAGACTCTACGCACGCCGCCACTTGGACGTTCCCAGTTTCATCCCGGCGCGATTGGCCTGGCGCTGCCGGAGACATCATTCGCAGTGGAAGTGCTTCCGAAAGCAAGCAGCATATCCTCGATGACTTCTGGCATCGACATGTTTCATCGCCAGCTATGCGGGACCTATGACCTATGACCAGTGTCTCGCTAAGCTTCATGGTCCTGGGCGAGCTCAGACCACAGGTCTGGCAGTTTCAGAAGGACAGCTGACAGCATCGCCGCCGCCTGCACGTGCAGAACAAGAGCTCCGGCTTCTTTGCATCTCGGGTCTCGACCTCCGGAACACCGTGCTCGGGTGGCCTTGCGCCATGTCTCACGTTGTCTCCCAGATGGGCCCATGCGCACTTTCTTCCGGACAGGCCTTTCGCCCAGCAAGATGCGGGCATGGGCGACGGCCTGATGAAAGCAACATCCCCTCGCCTCGCCTCCTCGCCTCCGGGCCTCGGCTGCCCAGCTGCCCGTGGCAGCGTCCACCGAGTCCTTCGAAGCCATGACGCTCTGCTCCTGGCTTGGGGTAAGGCCCAACCGATGCGCTGCAGGATGCCTTTCGTCGAATGTATAAACCCAGCACGGCCTGCGAGGTGGCAGTTCGGCAGGGCCTCCGATGCTAGGGTGAACATGAAACTGACCTGTACATATCCCTGGGTGCCATCAGCCTTTGATTGTGCAAACCAGTGCAAGCCCTCAAGCATCGCGGACGAGACATCTAAGCTACCCATTCGTTGCACAGAGCCAACAGCAGGGCCATTTTCATTTCGTTTGAGCGGGCATTTGTCTGCTGCCCGGCAACGGTGTGATTGGCACCTGAACCATATCAGAAAATACCTTGCAGGCCTTTAGAAACCTGGGCAATGGCATGACTTCTACGTAAACGCAAAAAAGGACTGACATCAGATCCCAACACTGCTCCTTTCCTTTCCTCAAATTTTTACGGGGAGACTCAACTCAAGTAACTCTTGTTCACATGACAGCTACTTACAATCCATTTTGATGGTTGGCCGATGTTGGTCGTTAGATACACAAGGTTTGGTACTCAAGCGATGACCAGTGACGACCAGTGCTGCACTTATACGTTGATCTTACTAAATCAAAGCATTAGTTTCAGAACGCTGCACTACTGTGCTAATCTCGCGGTTTCTGTTTCCCGCTCCTCTTGCTCCGATGCCTCCCAAGCCGCCGGCGCTTTGGTGGCTTCTTGAGTCCCCGGGCCATGGCATGGCTAGAGGGCACGTTTGTGCTGTCTTCCTTGCTTGGCTCTTTTGAGAGTGGGTTCTGCGTAGCACTTTCCTGCATGGTGTTCTGATGGTAACTTGCTGCTGTCATTGCTTATATACTTGGTCATGTCGCTCTTCTTAACTCTCATCGCTGTCACTGTTGCGCTTGCTCTTAGTGTGCAAAGTTTCTCGGAGCTCACGGTTAGCAGGGCAAGACCACAGGAAATGTTCTGTGTGCTCATCTTCCAGTCCGCAGCGGCGGCACCGTGCAGCAGTAACTTTCCCAGCAGCGACCAATCTACATCTAGACCAAGGAGCATCCGCCCGAAAGCGACAACACCTAGCCCCACAGTCCGTACCATCTCATCCAAAAGTTCCGCGACGACATCGGAGCTCGACGAGAGGTCGCATAGTGCGAGTGTGATCGATTCCCCCACTGGTGCCCCTAAGGCAAAATCTAGACTCTCGACCCATCCCAGTGCTGCCACCACCAAGATCGGAGGCTTTCGCGAAGGCTGTGGCGGACCCGCATTCCAGCGGCATGCCGGTGGGCAAGATCAGGCCACTGGATGTCAACTCCTTCATGGGTGCGAACAACATCCAAAGGAAGCAAGGGATCATCGATCGGCCTGTAAAAGCAAAAGCCTCCAATGACAGCTCCCAAATTCCCTCCAGCCCCAACAAGGGCAGATTCCACCGCTAGCTGTGGCCTGTTCACTAAGGGCATATTATTATTATTATTATTATGAAGGTGACCCAACCTAACAACGGGTTT